CTCTGTTTCTTATACGGCATCTAAAGGCAATATGGAGAAGTAGAAAAAATTGATTTATACAATTAAATTAATGAGCAAACAAAAGTGGAACTCCAATCCCTGATTTTATAAAATGAAGTTCGATCTTTTTGCAACTAGAAACACGTATGGGTCTAATACGTGACGGAAATGCCTTTATAAAATAGAAACGAATACAATATTTGATAACACGTTTTCTTTGATCTGGATATTGACCAAAGATGCTCGTTTCTAAGAACTTCTTAATTTACGAGATAGAACTGAATCTATTTTCGTTACGATGAATTGAAAAATGGAATGCTTAGTTACAGTTCTTGAGTTTATTTAACACAACTCTCGCGAGAGTCATAGTAATTGCCTCAACATCGTAGCTTGACTAAAATATTAAGTGTTTGAGGTGACCAAGAAATATAACCCTTTATTTTTTCTATTCCGTCCTCAAAACGATAATGAGTCTTGAGTGGACAAAGAGAATATCGCTCGAAACTGACTTTTAAATTGTTTCACTATTCTTTGTTGTGTGAACGTTCGATACCTTCAACATGAAAAACTGATGTATTACTAACAAATTAAGCTTCCAAACCTACCATATCGATGTTGGTTGTTTCTGATGTATTACTAACAGATTAAACTTCCAGACCCACCATATCAATGTTGGTTGTTTGAAACAGGTGTGGTTTTCCAACAGACGGGCCAAGTGGCGTCGTCATCAGCGAATGAACATTATCAAGCCTATGGACAGCATAGAAGTTTCGTCCCCAAGCCCCTCCAGCCCACTTTCACCTTTTCCCGAGCCAACAACGCCTTCTAGTCAACCTCAACCACAAGCTCCGAAACCTAGCAACAACATCCCACGAATGGGAGGTGACAACTCTGCTTTCTCACCAGCTAGACTTTCTTCGTCCTCTTCTGCGACCAGTCCTCACTCCCCTACCTTAGACTGACTAAAACGCACTGGAAGATCTACGGTCATCCGGGTTTATCTTTTTGCTGCGCATGCGTGTTTAAAGTAGTACGGCTATTTTGGAATCACAAATAAAGTAGTTTTAAATAGAGTATGTAAATATCTATATCTAGATTGCCAAACAAGAGTATTTATTATGTGTAACAGTAGCATTTAGTTGGAACATGAAAAGATATAAATATAGCGCGAGCTCCTTACCAGCGTTCTAGTCTTAAACGTATCGATGTTGTTTGTTTTTGATTTATTAATAACAGATTAAGCTCCCAGACCAACCATATCGATGTTAGTTGTTTCTGATTTATTAATAAGAGATTAAGCTCCCAGACCAACCACATCGATGTTGGTTGTCTCTGATGTATTAATAACAGATTAAGCTCCCAGACTAACCACATCGATGTTGGTTGTCTCTGATGTATTAATAACATGATTAAGCTCCCAGGCCAATAATATCGATATTGGTTGTTTCTGATGCATTAATAACAGATTAAGCTCCCAGACCAACCACATCGATGTTGGTAGTCTCTGATGCATTAATAACAGCTAAGCTCCCAGACCAACCACATCGATGTTAGTTGTTTCTGCAAATTCAATCCCAGTCCCACCGAACATGCTCGCCATTTCAGCGGTGGGGGCATTATAATGTGCTGGTCAATCACACTATTCGTTGGTAAAACAGTAGCCCAAGCGTTGGCGGTGGGTGGTGATGACTAGTTTCTTCCCTCTAGTCTTTCACTGCAGAAAGCCCTCGTGTAGCTTTGCGCGCAATTCAAAACAAAACAAACAAACCTTGTTTTGTTTCCCTATTTTTAGATGCAGACAATAGAACAGAGGATTCCTTCAACAACCAAACGACAAATTTTATACATTCTTACTTTATTTTTATAAATCTTTAAATTACAAGTCTTAATCACATTTTAATAATCGGAAACGTTAAAGAAATTTTAATAAGTTTTTGTTTCTTGTTAAGCACAAAACAACGCAAAAGATTATCTGTGCTCTGCCAACTACGAGTATAGAAACCCGATTTTTTAGCGTTATAATCCCTTAGGTTTATCGGAAGGCTTGATAACAAGCATCTTTTACAATTATATGGCTTATAAAAGTTTGATGTTAGATTAATGTCAGTTATGTGTTTTATTTCCTCAACCCCATATTCTTTGTGTAAATATCAACGTATATTTTAATAATTTGTATTCACGTCCATATTTACTTCGTTACATTATCAAAGATGACATCGTTTGGCTAATTTTTTATCATCAAATAGTAAAGGGTTTCACGAAAACCCAATAATTGACATTTTTTGGTAAATTTTTAATACCACACTAACCCATGCTTGATTTCCTTAGAGAGTTAGCGGCCAGTCTGGGGGCTTGTTACCATAATGTCCTCCACGCTAACGATTTCAAAAAATTATCCATAATCAGACTTGGAAATTATATCCTCATTTGTTTGATAAACTGGCTGTTTTGGAAGCCTTAGTGTGGTAGATACTGGCATTATCCAGAATCAGACTTGGAAATTATATCCTCTTTTGGTTGATAAACTGGTTGTTTTGGAAGCCTTAGTGTGGTAGATACTGGGATTATCCAGAATCAAACTTGGAAATTATATCCGTGTGGTAGATACTGGGAACGTCATTTGTGCGCTTAGCAACAGAACCCTAGAAACAGACAGAATCAATTTCACACCATGCACGTGTACTTGTAGCTACTAGCTCTTATTTACTTTAACGACGTTCAGAAACACACTCGGCCTTTTCGAGTTATTAGAAAACTTTACACACATTACAACATGAGCAACACGAAATATTATTAATATCTTATCGATGTGTGTTCATTTCTTGCTTACCTTTTAAGGAATGGTAAAACGAGATCAAGCTTTTACGAAGATGTATATCTCTCGACCATAACCACTTTTTGTGTAACCATAAAAACGAAAAATGATGACGTGTCCAGAAAACAAGGGTGGAAATATAGCTGTTGGATGAGCATGCTGTATGCATGTACAGTTAATGTTTTTTAAAGTTGAAGGTCACGGATAAACTCGCACTTACTCTGGCTATTTATCGCAAACGATATGAAACCAAGAATATGCACATACATATAAACAACGGTTATTTCTGAATTATATTTTTAATTAGGCTTTTCCATTTTTTTTGTTCGAAAACCCTAAGGGACTGAATAAAGAATGGAATGTTAAGAAATATAATAACCTAATACAAACGTCTTATGATAATATAATCAATTATAATCATTCTTTGCTAACTTAGAAAAGGCGTTCACATCATTACAATATCCATTACTTTCCGAGTATTAAACAGTTCGTATATTGACTGGTTAGTTAAGCCTAAAAATGGAGAAATACCCTAATCGTGAAAATTAACTGTTCTATTACATTTAAAAAGCTCCACCTCGTACATCGAACGGAACAGAAACTTAAGTATTTTCTAGAGTTTTCGTCTAAGAAAGATTGTTATCTGAAAATATATCATTTCCTTTACGACGTGCAGTAAAATAATTTTTGTCAACCTGTAGAATTAAGGAAAAATAAAGATTGCTAGATAATGTTCGATACCTAATTTCAACTGGGCATTAAACATTATACTTTAATTATCATGCATAATGTGGCAAGTACACATTTTACAATCACCAGAACTGCATAGAGACCAGGTGTTACTCATCCTATGATGCTGGGTGTGAAAGTCATTTTTGGAAGTATTTTGTTGATCTTCTTATCAAAACACCAAACTGAAACGAAGACAAACTGATAGCATGAACGCTCAATTTCCGGTGGCCATACTGAATCCTGCTCTTCTCGGACTGGAACTGGACTGCCCCCCCCCCCCAGTGGCACAGCGGTATGTCTGCGGACTTACAACGCTAGTATCCGAGTTTCGATACCCGTGGTGGGCAGAGCACAGATTGCCTATTGTGTAGCTTTGTGCTTAATTACAAACAAGCAAGGAACTGGACTAAGGCCTAACGTAAGCAAAGCGTCACAGCCCCATCAGTCAGATTAGGGTTGTGATGCGATAAATATTCTGAATTCCAATGGGCATTGGGGACAAGGACCTAAGTAGGCCAACTTCCAGGTTGCTATGGTACACGCTGGCCAATGAAACTAATAGTTAAAAGCGTTGCAGAACAGTTGCAGAATCTTACAGATTTTAAAACTAATTATGCGTTATACATAGTTTCGTGTAGCGTGCGTCTGTAAACATAGGCCCCATCCAACATATGTTAGCTATATATCAAACAGAAAATACTCTCCTAATTGTCCTGTTTATACTGTTCATCAACGAGTGATTTAACAACAGAACGTGGATTATATTGAATGATAAGGGAATTACACTTATGTCTCACCCCTTATTACGACATTTCCTGTATAGAGTGGGTAATTCATATTATGGTTGTTTCTAAGTGGGTAATTCAGATTATGGCTGTTTCTGAGTGAGTAATTCATATTATGGCTGTTTCTGAGTGAGTAATTCAAATATGTCTGTTTCTAAGTGAGTAATTC